AATAAAAGCTATTATTATAAATACATAATTAAAAACATTAAATATAAATAATTTATAAAATACTAACCTTATTAATTGAATAATATGTGCACAATATGTATTATGTCGAATTTGTGGCATTACGGGTTGTAAAATTTCTCTAACAGATTTTTTCATATAAGCTGCTGAATCTGATACAATAAGATATGGATAGGTAAAAGGTATCTCGCATTTAACTAAAGTTTTAAGAACTAATTGACCTACTGTAACATTATTCACTTGAGATATAAAATCAACTGAAATTAATTTTGTTTAACCTTGATAACTAAAAAGTGTATTAATTACACTACGGGTTTTTTTGTCTATAGTTTTATCAATTATAATGAAACTGGTTTACCACAAAATATTTCACGAAGTTGTTCATAATGTTGCTCAAAAATACCACTTAAATGATGTTTTCGAATACTATCAGCTAAAGGAATAGAACCACCCTCTTTACAATATTTCCTAAAAAAATCTCGAAGCTTATTTATTTTTTCAAGTGGAATATCTGCTTCTACTCAGGCTTTTACTAAATTATGAATTATTTGTTTTCTCCCATCTGCGATCACCATTGTGGCATGAAAAGACTGTTGACGGTCATTACGATTGGCAACAACATATGAACGGCAGGAATCTTTGTAAGCTTTTGAATTTATATATGTAGTAATAGTGGTTTTATTTTGCCAGCCAATACTTATATTACAAAACTTGCAAAAAAGTTTATTATTATTTACAAAAAGATCCTCTGAAAATTCTCGTGCCCGTGAACAAGGTGAAATAATTTTTGACCACCCCATTGTTACAATATTTTTCTATGATTATTTCTTTACGGCGATTTAATCAAATCTATACCAATTTTGGCAATTTTGATTGATCTAAAATCATATGGTTAGATCCACCATAAAAATATTTGGATTTATAAGGAAAATTTTTGAATATTTGTAAAAGTTTGGAATATGCTAGAATATTTGAATTTACATGGGCAAATTTGGTACCAAATTTTTATGTGTCCCTGTACAGTACCTGCTATTGTTGATAGTGGTGCTGCTGTAAGCATAATTACGCGAGACACAATGGAACAATTAGGATACTCTATAGATGAACCTTCAAACAGTGTGATTCTACCTGCTGTTGGAGAAGGTACTCGATCCCTAGGAGTTATTAGAGATTTTCCAGTTACTGTCACAAGATATACTATCCCTGTTGATGTAGAGGTAACTGAAGTAACTACCTATACCCTCATTTTAGGAAATAATTGGCTGTTAAAAGCCAATGGAAATTATAACTGGCAAAGCCAGGAGTTAACTTTAAAATGGAGAAATCAACATTTAGTTTTACCTGCCTCCTGCATACGAGGAAGTTTAGCAGAAATTCCTGAAACTACTAGTGAAGAGGAAAGTGAAACGTCCGATGAAGAAATTGAAAGTGATAACCAGCATGAAAACGAGTCTTCCGAAACTGAGGAAGACGATGAAAATGAAACTTTTGAAGACTGCATTGAATATTCCGAAGAAGAAATAAATTTTTCCGAAGGAAATGCAAATGAAAGTGATGATAATAACGAAAATGAAAGTGAAAATGATACAGAAAGTGATAATTCAAATTCTATTGAATCTGAATATGAGGAAAGTAACTCAGAATCAGAATCTGAAAGTGATAGTGATGATGATAAGGATATTTTGGATGAGATCCCTGTAATGATGGGAGACTCATTAGTTGAAACTGAATTGAATGTTGGTACT